GCACTTGCATTCTACTGTGACTGTTACCTGGGTACCAATCTGACCACCCACATACATATGTGCATACATACATATAGACATCCAGTGTCAAAATGACTTTTTTCTGAGCCTTCCTATCCCTCATTCTCCACCTGTCCCCCATGAACGCTCCAGTTCTTTTTGTTTTTTGAAGAGCTGTATTTTTTCTTTTTTTTTTTTTTTTTTTTTGAGACAGATTCTCGCTCTGTCTCCCAGGCTGGAGTGCAGTGGTGCGATCTCGGCTCACTGCAACCTCTGCCTCCCGGGTTCAAGCATTTCTCTCCCTCAGCCTCCCATGCAGCAGGGATTATAGGTGTGCGCCATCACGCCTGGCTAATTTTTATATTTTTAGTAGAGACGGGGTTTCACCATCTTGGCCAGGCTGGTCTTAAACCCCTGACCTCATGACCCGCCCACATCGGTCTCCCAAAGTGCTGGCATTACAGGCGTAACCCACCGCGCCCGGCCAAGAGCTGTATTTTCCTTATAACAGATCCCAGCTGTTTTTGTTAAGGGTTATTGTTGTTATATTTATTTTTATTTAAATAAAAGTCAATATTGCATCATCCTCACCCAAAATTCACATTACCAGGAGGTGCAATTTCAAGTGTCCAGGCGATAATCAAATTTCTCAGTCACACTTTATAGGAGACCCTAATTGTCTCTTCCCAACCCCACTTTACTTGGCAAGGCACTTTAAAGTTTCTTTTTGGTAAAATTGTTCAGTTGCAAAATTTCAGAATCATTTTATTTCATAGGAATATTTTTAGCATATGTTATTATTCAATTCATTAAAACCCACACATACTTTCAGCCAAATCATATTCACAAAGTGAATCTTCTGTTGATCTTAACTACCAGATCTGTTTTTAAATTATTATAAGCAAATTGTAAGACACAATGAAAAGATATGTTTCTAACCACAAATAAAAATATGTTTTACCTGCCTCATTTTACTAGTAACAGTATGTCTGAAGAGATCTGTTTTAATATTGAGTTGAGGACTTAGACAAAGATTTTTAAATTGTATGTTAGGTACATATTCAGAGATAATTTAAGCATTATATACTTTTGAAAATAAAAGAATAGGATATAACCTCTTTATTGAGGACATCTGCCATTGAAATGCTGGGAATACATTTTACTGTTACTAAAATTAGACTATCTTGAGATATTTGGCAGAAACCATTTCTGGGCAATTTATTAAAAAATAACATATTCCCTTCACTAAAAGTATAACTGTCTTTCGTTATGCTTTCATAGGGAATAAAGCAAGACTGGTAAATTATCTTAAATATTGTATATTCTAAGTATATCATTTATAAAACTTGGAAATACAACCGAAGAAAAAATTTAAACATTTTAATAAATATGCAACCCTTTTGAGTTGTGAAAGATTCAAATCCAATGTAATCTATGTACAAAATTAGGGGACATATTTCCATGGATTCATTTCAGATTGATGATGTGCTTGGTCAAGATAACTTAGTTCTGAAAAAATAAACTTCATAGTAGGATAAATATAAAGAATAAATGAAAGAGGAGATGATAGCTTGGGACAATTACAGAATTTCATATTATTTTAATTTTGGCTAGCTGAACTGCCTCTCGTCCGTTTTACAATACAATGTCTTCAGCTTGGCCGTGCATTGAGGCAGATTAATAGTTTATCGAACTGGCAAATCAAGTAGGCATAGATAATATGTCTTTTCTCCTTTTGTAATATACCTCCCATCAGTAAATTTTTAATAGCATTTTTTAATGTCAGAAACCATTGAACTATCTTGAATGCAATATATGTAGTATATACAGTTATTGAAAATGTCTGTTGTGTTTGGACTTCTAATGCACTACACAGTTTACTGATTTGTCCACCACTCACAAGAATGTTTGGCTTCAAATGAACCCTAAAGTTGCCTTTGTGCGTGTAGAAAGCTGTCAAATGCTTAGCTCTGGATTTTGTATTCTTGCTTTTTAAACACTGGTGTATCTGGCAGTATTTCTTAGTTGTTTTGTGGGAGTTAGGCTACTGTTTCAAAATAAGTACATAAGACAAACTGTAGCGCTACATTTTGCCTATATGACACAGCCAGAAGGCAAAGTCAGAATGATAGGCCAAGGAAGAAATGTAGCTGGCCAGCCCTGGCATCATTTTGAAATTTGCATTTATTGGGCCATTTTCCTAGAGCTTTATTTTTAATATTTTTAAGCCGTTTCATAGGAATCTGCCAATGCATATCATAACAGGGGACCATTCCAGGCATGGCTGTGCAGCTTACTACCTGCGTGTCTTTGTGTTAAGTCTCTTAACCAATTTGAGCTACAATTTTCTCATCTGAAAAATGGGGGTAATATCACCTACCTTGCAATGTTGTTGGAATATTGTATAAAAAATATGCCTGCCATGATAACATTCTTTTTACTTTTGTAAATGTTTAAAATTTTCATAACTTTTGTTCCCCAGAACTTTTTCTTTCCCCCAGAGATTTTAATGCTGTCATCTTCCCTCTCTCTCTCAACTACCACTGATTTAGTTTAGGTCCTCATCTCTTCTATTCTCTACACTGGTCTCCCTACTTCCCTTTTGCCCCTTGAATGCCCTCAATCTTTTATACACCTGTCACAGAGGCTCAGTAGTTCTTCTTAATGAAGTATCAGTTTTCTGAGTCTTTGCAATTCCCTGACTGCATAGCAAGCAAAAATCATTATGATTTAAAAATACTTACTACTGCTAATTATTATTATAGCAATGTTTTTTGAATATTTGCTGTGTGGCAGCACATTTTTCTGCACTTAACCTTATAAATTTATTGAATCCCAAACAACACTATATGTATGTGCTATTATCTTCGTTTTACAGAAGAGGTAACCAAGGGAAAGGGAAGTTTAATAACTTGTACAAGTTCATACACCTAGTATGTGGAGAACTGAAATTCCAACCCAAACTTCCATCAGAGAGTAAAATCCAAGTTCTTGTACATGTCGTGCAAGGTCTCCATGATCTGCAGCCTGGCTCATTACCACCCACAATTCTGGCATTTCCTGCCTTGCATGGCCTTCTCTAGAATCACTGAGCTTCTCATTGCAGCTCCTTATCTCCTTCTTCCTCATCTAGGCAACTGCTAGGCTTCCTTGGCTTCATCCCTCCCTGCTGGCTCCCTTGGGCACAGTGGCCTCCTCCCCACTTCAGTGTACCAGGCCTGCTCCCACCCTGGGCCATTGCTCTAGGAAAGAACCTTTCTGGGCTTGACCTCCGAAGACTTTTTTTTTTTTTTGAGAGTTATGTAAATTATTTATTGATAAGAGAAGAGCAGTATCTTGGTATCTGTTACTATAACAGAATAGCACAGACAGGGTAATTTACATAGAAAAGAATTATATATCTTACAGTTCTAGAGGCTGGGCAGTCCAAGGGCATGGCATCAGCCTCTGATTAGGGCATTTGGGATGCATCATCCCAAAGGATGGAAAGATGGAAGGGCAAGTGAGCACATGCAAAAGAAAAAGCATGAGGGGCTGGGCTCACTTTATAACAGCCCACTCAAGATAACTAACCCACTCCCACCGTAACAGCATTAATTCATTCCAGAGTGTGGAGCCCTCGTGACCTAATTACTTCTTGCAGGCCCTCACCTCTTAATACTGTTACAATGGCAATTAAACTTCAAGATGAGAAAATACCTTTTTTGATTGAAATCCTGCCTCTACCACTTATTACCTTTTACATCTTACACTCTCTCTGAACCTCAGTTGCCTCCTCTATTAAATGATCATGAAACCCAATTGTTCTAGAGTTCTATGAATAATCTCTACAAAGAGCAGGTGCCTCTTGAAAAACATGCTTCTGGAACTAAGGGGGTATAAAATAACACATGCTTCTTTTAAATTGTTTTTACCTTCTTTTGGTTTTATTTCCCGCATTTTAATTTTCCAGATATCCACATGGTTTGATGATAGCCACACCACCTAGTCTAGCTATCGGTAACAATTTATTTAGTGACATCATCCATATGCTCCCTGTGCCACGGCATGTTTCATGGTGTTGTTTGGGGTCACTCGGGTCCTTTTCAGATTGTTCATGCGTGAGTGAAAAGTTTATTTGCACTGTTCTCAATTAGGGTCATGACCAGGAAGCTGTCTGTGTTGAATAACAGCATTCACATTTGATTTAAGAACTTTAGCAAGCTAGATCAAGAAATAGCTGATAGTGACTCTGGAAATCCTTCTCTCAAATTATTCTTGCGAAGAAATGCCACAGAAGAACACTGGGCCCCAGTTTCTCACTTTCCTCTAACTAGAATGTTGCACAACTTTCTTTGCCTTTCCCTGTCCCTCCAAGACACGTCATGCTGACACCTTGCTCCCATACCCCAGGCACGGTGTAGCTGGGGTTGCTGCAGCAACAGCACACACGGAGCAACATGCCCCAGTAACTACAGTGGCTGGGATGTGAGTCAGTTGAAACTTTCAGTGGGTTTTTATTAGTGTATGATGCAGTCCCATGTCATCTACAGTTCCTAGCCTGTCCAAGACTTACACGGGGTGATGCGGAACACTCCATACTAATCACCTTCAAATGTTAGATGGTCAAGGGTTCTCTCGCTGAAGTCACTGCAGTGGCTGGTTCCTTCCATAGCACTCCTTACTAATATCTATAGTAAGAGGCCAAAAGTAAAACTCAGGCCCCACTGCTGGAACACCATTTCTACTACGGCACATGCTGTGTGCCTACAAAGCAACAGTGACCCTGGCTGATGATCAAGAAGCCCCACTGTTTACCCAGCGAGTTGGACAATAGTTAACATCCCGGAAGACATATTTTTAACCCAGTTGCTGGGAAGAACATGTGCTGAAGAATAAGGATGGAATCACTGTAATTCTCTATGGGAATCCATGAAAGTGGAACTTGCCATTTAATATTGATCAACACTGAGCACAGAGTTATTGGTGACTTCTAATGTGGGATTTGGTTTATTTTTCAGACACGGAGATGACTTGATTGTGACTCCATTTGCTCAGGTAAGCACAGCTTGGTGAATGGGCAGGTTTCTCACAGATATAAAAATTTAATTTGGGGGATTAGTTCTGGTTATTAATTTAATTTAATTTTAAATCAAGCACAAATATAAATACAAATTCTTGGTTCATTCAAGCAATTCAAAGGCAATGCTAGAGAAAGTGACTTTGGCTATATTAATCTGTTTCCTGTAAACCCATAGACCCAAGAGTGTGTTTGCTTCAAATAACAAATTAGCTAAGGGATATACTTAATTGGACCCATATTTCCTTAACTGACATAAGTACTAGAAGCAGAAGGCTGTATCATGGCTTAAGTTACATTTAGTATAATTTGGTACATGATCAGTGCTTGAAATTCAATATTCCAATTCAACCCAATACTTTATCTTTTTTTTTTTTACATATCTCATTTGTACAAAAATTTACCTGACATGTTGATGTTTACTTGTTTCTTCTAAGCATACAAGTTATGAAAATACTTTAACTACATGACATAGATGCAAGAAGGTGATAAAATGATCTAAAATGTTTTGGAATATACATATGAAAGGGTTCTATGTATAGACCAATACTTCCCAACCCTACCTGCATGTTAGATTAACCTAGAGACCCTCTTCTCCCAAGATTAACCTTGAGACCTCTTATCCCAGTACCCAGGCTGTAGCCGTGGTCAATTAAATTTTTTAAGATGGAGATCTGATCCAAGCATCTATATTTCTTAAAGGCCTCAGTATTTTTCCAGTGTGCAAAAGTCGAGAGCCCCTGTTATAGACAACTAAGGACAGAATGAGATAAAGCTGATTTAACCTGAGGCATGAAGCAGGTTCAAAGCCAACACTAATGGCTGAGAAATGTTAAATATTGAAATGCAAGTAATCCTGAGAGGTTGTAAAAGTTACAATCAGGCCTATAGCATAAATTATAACCAGGCCTGCATCATACATTAAGGTACTCTTGTACCTTGGACGACTCACTTAGATTTTTGGGATCCTCTTTTTTTCCAACTGGTAAAGTTAGGGGACTGAGCTGGATGAAAGACAGTCAGATCTAGTTAAAACACTTTCACCTCCTCTTGCCAAGTAAATGGACTTGAGTGAGTCACTGAACTTTTCCAAGCCTGGTCTCTTCCTCTGTCAAATAACAGCTCCAAAAGTACCCACCTCATAAGGTTGCTAAGACACTGAAATGATACCAGGATTATAAAATGCTAGGCACAATTGCTAGAAAATATAATACTAAAGGAAATTTTAATTGTTATTGGTTTAAATGTATAGAGCTTAAAATGTTCTTTGATCTCTAAAATGTCATATTATTTTTAAAAAGTGGATAATAGCAGGGTTTAGATAGTAGGATTATGTATAGTTCTACTTTTTAAAATTTCCTGAACTTTTATTACTATAACTTAGACCTAAAATCTAATCAATCCATCAGTAACGTAATGTATAATAGTGCCATTTTTAATTAATGCAGGCAATTAAAAATAAAATACAACCACCATCCTTTTCAGATGGTTAATATCTTGTTTGCTGAAGGTTTTGCTGGAGATTATGAATTCTTTCTAGTACCTGTATTTCTATGTCCAAAAAATTTACACTTAAATGATTTTTTTTTTTTTTTTTTTTTTTGAGACAGAGTCTCACTCTGTCACCAGGCGTCAGGCTGGAATGCAGTGGCGCAATCTCGGCTCACTGCAACCTCCACCTCCCGGGTTCGAGCACTTCTCCTGCCTCAGCCTCCCGAATAGCTGAGACTACAGGCACACGCCACCACGCCCAGCTAATTTTTTTGTATTTTTAGTAGAGACGGGGTTTCACCATGTTGGCCAGGATGGTCTCAATCTCTTGACCTCATGATCTGCCTGCCTCGGCCTCCCAAAGTGCTGGGATTACAGGCTTGAACCACCGCGCCTGGCACACTTAAATGATTTAATAATATTACATGATAGCAAAATCTTATAAAGCTAGAGGTTTTTAATAACTATAGAAAGCTTATAATTCTATAAGAGCTGAGAGAGAGGTGAACAGACAAAATAAGGCATAACAATGTAAGTAACATTACCAAACATAAAACCAATCATTCCAATTTGAGTTCATTCAGGTAGCTATTCTTGTTTCTAAGCAAACTGTCTAGGTATTATTATAAGAAAATATATATATAAATGTTTAATAAAAAATGAAAAAAGTTCTGTGTATGATATCTGGTCTTCTTTCTTCAAGTAATGTTTATTAATCTGCAACAAATAGATTCGTAAATGGGACTTGAACCCTGCCATCAGAGCTCTTAAAATCTAAGGAAATCTGGTCTTCTACCTGATTGGACATTTTCTGTAGTGTACCTATAATCCTCAAGAAAGGAAAAACTAATAGAATTTCAAGATATTGGGAAATACACATTTATATAATTTATTCCATATGTTAGTAAGCTATTTAAATTAAAAAGATGTATACTTAATGTACTTGAAATTAGAAATTTGAATATAAATCAACTTTGTATAATTTATAGGCATATTTGATGCCTAAAAATAATCCCATAATAAATTAAGACTTCGCTTGTGATTGACTAAGTGACTCGGAACGCCTTAGAGAGAGTGGTCATTACTCAACAGGCTGCAGATTTTTTTTAAGTGGCTTCATCATGGTTTTTACAAATGGCAGTTTACTGGAGTATAAGATCTGGAAAGCCCCACTAGAATTAAAAACAAAACAAAAAACTGTTCAACCCTGAAGAGTTTCACCACTGATAGAGCATCTATGGGGAGGCAGATAAGAGAGAAGTCCCAATGAGTACGTTTAGGTGGCCTTCTCTTAAACCCTGTTGGACGTGATTGGCATATTTTGCTGACCCAATCATTAATTCCTCAAATTTTCTTTAATACAAAGTAGAACACTTACCATTTCACAGTAAATGCTAACTATTTTAGCATTAACTCTTTTAATACTAAAAACATAAGATATTTATGTCACTTGAAGTGATACCAACCTAAATTTGCCTGATATATTATAATTGCTTTCACCGAAGGACAGAAAACGACTGGTTTTAGAAAAGTCATTCAGAAAAATATTCAGTCAAGTAAGCCAAAGAATTATCCTCTTTTCCTAGTATGCTTTGAAGTTTGGAATTTCACACCACATTTTAGGGGAAAACCTATGCTTCTCAAAAAATAAAAATAAAAACAAAAGTTTTTCCATAAAAAGTTTAGAAAAATAATAAGAAAAAGAAAAGGAAAAATTTTTAAATTCCAAACCCCCAAATAACTGCTGACATTTTACTTTATATTCTTGATATTTATTTTTCTGTGCATATTTTCTTTCCCATGGCTCCTAAAAATGGCCCTCTACTGTCTAAAGTATTCAAAGATCTTCTCCCAAACCCATCTAATCTTCTACTTCTTCTTGAGAACTAATTTCTTTATGCCTGAGTCCATCTCTAAAACACAAAGGGATTCCTCCCTGGTCTTTCCAAATCATGGTTTCCTTTGGCATGAAAAGAATAAAATCGTAAATTAGAGAATGTAGGAAGTCATGTTAAAAAAAGGTATATTGCACTTTTTTGGCCAGGCTAAAGCCTAAGACATCTTGGATAGATGTAATTTTCAGAAAGGATCATGTAATATCCCTCCATAGTCTATCCCATTGTCTAAAACACTGTCAGGGCTAGAAATTCTTGCTGGTGTTTAACCTAAATTATTTTCCATTTCTGATTTCTTATGCTTCCCCCTATAAGCTCAGAATCCCTTTGGTCCCCAGAAAAAGTGACAGCTTTAAATTTTTTTATTTTAATTGTTGAAGTATTCCCTTGTGTTTGTGTTGAAATCTTTTGGTGTGAGTATTTCTTTAGACATCAAGGCTACGGAGAAATCCCAGTGGAGTGCACTCAGCAACTGACATTTTTTTCTTAGCCAGAGCTCTTGGGGGCCAAGGAGCACTAAGGACGCACAGGCAGATGAGCTGTAGGAAACTCTTCTCTGCGGTCAGCTGCCTCCGGGCTCAGTGATCCCAGGATTTGTGACAGCACCACCCTGTAGTAAAACTCTAAGTTGACTAGAATTCTCATGTAGAAGTATGTAATGTTAAATGAAGTAGACACTGGTGAAAGAGAAAGCAGGAAAACCCAAGCTTTATGCTGGATCCCTGGAGAAACCCTCACATCATTCAGACTAAGGAGGTACTTATTTCTGATTTGAAAATACAGGGTAGGAACAACAACTACATCTTTTTGCCTTTACTGTAACCAAAATACAGCACCTGGGATACTTGTAGGAAGAAAAATGCAGTAGTTATTAACACTATAGAATATTACCATTTAGTTGGTAATAGAACATAACCAATATTCTTCCAATACTCCTACCTGCCCCTCAGCCACTTCACCCAGCAGCAGCGGTCTTGTGGCCTCATCACCATCCCCAAGCTTGCAGACTGTACTAGGGCCTCCCTGCCAAGCTCTGAAAGAAGATAGTCACCTGGTTGCAGTTGGTGTTAATTTTTTAGCTTGTCTTTAGCCTTAATTAATTTAAATTACAATTACTGTCTTCTGGATATCTAAGTTCTTTTTAGATCAAATCATATAAAATTGTCTATCAACCTTTTCTGGTTTACAAACCAGCAATTTCATACAGTTTAAACAAACATAACTTGGAAAGAGATTTTCTTTTCATAAAAATGACACTTCTATTTTGTAAATAAGCCCAACTTCACTCCAGCTTTTTCCGGAGGTATAACCGAAGTAACGAATCTCTCCTAGTGCCGGTCTCCGCTTCCCTCGCCGTCAATGGCAACTCATGGTCTGTGTTTTACCGCCATCTAGTGGTAGTAAGTGTATATGGTTATGAAAAACAATCATTAAAACCATGTATTTCCCTGTTTTTTTAAGGCTATAATGTTCAGCTGTTTTTGTTTGTTTGTTTGTTTGTTTGTTTGTTTTTTGAGACAGAGTCTCACTCTTTCGCCAGGCACCAGGCTGGAGTGCAGTGGCGCGATCTCGGCTCACCGCAACCTCCGCCTCCCGGGTTCAAGCAATTCTCCTGCCTCAGCCTCCCCGATAGCTGGGACTGCAGGCGCGCGCCACCACGCCCAGCTAATTTTTGTATTTTTAATAGAAACGGGACTTCACCATGTTAGCCAGGATGGTCTCGATCTCTTGACCTCGTGATCCGCCCACCTCGGCCTCCCAAAGTGCTGGGATTACAGGCATGAGCCACCGCCCCCGGCCCATGTTCAGCTGTTTAAGTGTTAAATGAGAGCTGCATTTTTCTGCTATTTTCAGTGAATCCTATCCGTGAATAAATGTTTAGAAGCACCTAAGAAGATCCGAGAGTAGCGTATGTAAATAACATTGAATCCTTCCCCATGGGCTAATACATGAACCCAAAATTTTTCTGTAACACTCCCAGTATTTCTTTCCTAAGGAATATATATTTCTCATCATTGCCAATGTATTTTTGACATTGACTGGCTACACTTTTGCTTGGTGGGGCAGAAGAGAAAGAAATGACCTTAATTTTCTAACCATTGAGCTATGTGGGAGAAACCTCAGGGACCTTTTTAGTTAGCAAGCATTAAGGAGTGAGGACTATTATAGGGGCATTACAGTTTGACGACAGCTCTTAAAGAGTTGAAATCAGGGGAAGTGAGGGCTGCCCAGAACAAAAACAAAGAACAATGGAAATTTAACTTAGGGACTTCGGTAAAAATGTTTCTAGTTCTCCCCACAGCCTACAGTAACAGATGCCTCTCTCTTTGTGCCCTGCAGTGCAAAGTGAAAGCTTAAAAGACTAACACAGTAATAAGTGATAATGATGCCAAATGTCAATCAGCGAGGCCCAAGGCAACACCCCCTTATAAAATTTATCTGGAACTGTTATTTACACTTCTACTGTTTACACCATGTTATAGTGTAGAAGATAATAGTTAATATGGAACATAAAATTTATAAAATACTGTTTGTCCTACTGCAAAACACACACACACACAATAAATAATCTAATACTGGCATGCATAGGGAATAATGTCTCTACAAGGTTATTTATTGCAACAGTGTTTGTAAGAAAAAAAAAAAAAAAAAAACTTTAAGATAAAAACCTAAAACTTAATTGCCCAGCAGCTAAACATCTGAAGGAGAGACTGGAAGACAGATTTCTTTTTTCACTCTTTGTTTTGAAGTATTTCATATTTATAATATAGAGAGTATAGCTGGTACTTGTGCAAATTATAAAGAATAATACTAAATTAGGAAATAGAACAGCATCAATATTTTAATGCCCATGAGTGTCCCTCCCCCGGTTAATCTGTTTCTATTGCCTCTTTTCTGAAATAACAATAATTTTGACTCAATTATAGAAAGGGAGACTTTTTGCTTTAAACCCTTTTGTTTAAATTCAGAACCATGTCAAGATATAAATTATACAAAAATAAATTTTAAATTAAAAGCTAAGACAAAATAATATTAAATTAGGTTGTGCATTAAATTAGATGTTTATTATAACAGAGGCAAAGCTTCTGTGCAGAAATTTTTTTCTATCATGAACTAATGTTTCTTTTCATGACTGATGTTTCCTTTCAAATGAGCATAGAAAATAAATCGCCTGCAGTTCTATGTCTATTTATCTAGCTGTCAACTGCAATGAACTTAAATATTATGTATTGGAATAAAAATCTCAGAATTCCGGGGTTCAAATTTTTTCCTAGGAAGTGGATCGATTATCTGGTGCAATGAATTTATCTTAAAGTCTTCATTAGTGTGTTTCATATTCGCTTTTTAAAACATAAATTAAGCCTGTATGATTTAATGACAGTGGATCATTTATCCGATTTACTTATGCATCATTCAAGATTTCATGCCTAATGAAAGACATCGTGGTCTGATGTCAGCAGTTGGCTATTTGACTACTCCATCATAGGCAGCGTGACCTTTCAGAGCCGTGGGTTGTTTATATGAGATAATGAGCCAGGTTTTTCCAGTGACTGAGTTAATCACGGTTGGCTTCTTAGGAAGCAGCATTAACTCCTTCAGGGGAAAACACTGTAAGTCACTGTCCCAGGACATATACAGCTCTCCATTGACTTACACAAATGAATGTCAATTTTGTAAACAACAACAACAAAACAAGAGTCTGGGACATTTTTGTCTTAGAAAAAAAATTAGACTGATTTTAGTCTAGATCTGTGCCACATGAAAAATTTCTGAAAACAACTTTGGAACCCTTGGAACAATTAAAAATTTGGAGACTCTTGAATTACCAATGCTAGGGATTAAGGAATTTCCCATGTGCATGCCAAGTCATTAAGTCAAAGTCATTAAGTCAAAAATACACTGATATTGCCTGAATGCTTTCTATTTGCTAGGCACTGTTCTGGGCACCAAACCTGTCATTCCATATAATCCTCACAACAGTTCTACGAGGTGCATATCACTATCCCAGTTTTCCAGCTCAGGAAGCTGAGGTACAGAGAGGATACATAACTAGTCCAAGTTCACACATTTACTACATAGCAGAGCCAGGCCGTCTAGGTCGTTACATAGTACCTACTTGGACATTTGAAATCTGTGTTTTACATAAACTTAGCATTCTAGTGGTCACTGAGATCACTTATAATCCCATCTAATATGGATTCGACCCTGGGAAAACTTGCCCATTTCAGGAGAAAGGGAAGAAGGAAGAAGGAGATAATGTCCTCCTAACCTTCTCCTAGGCTCACTTGCAGTCCATTGGCTACTTTCTAGTTCCAACTGGAAGTAGATAAAGGAAGAGACTACTAGAGATAGTGACACCTATTGGTCCTGCCTTGTCATGTGTGTGGCCATGTTGTGTCTATGTATTCATTTATTCAACAAATTTTTATTATCTTCTGTGTGCCAGGCATTGTACATGCACAGGGCAGTAGCGCTTTGTGTAAGAAATGCATCCCTGAGAGCTTACAATGCACAATTCAGATGACCTTAACAAAAGAAAACAATGCTTACTAGCTAGAGTAGCCATGTATCAAAGGTAGAAAAACAGTTTAAAATTTGCTTCGCTTGCCAACTTAAAATTAGGAGAATCTTAATCAATTTTTGAAGAGAATTTGGGAGCAGGGAATTTTTTATCCCTAAAGTGAGATTTATTCACATTTTATATTATACTATTTGAAATGTGCTATATGTATATCGCCTGGAGTATTGTCTGGGTGACTAAGGAACCCAGAAATAATACCGTGGAAACTGCTGCTACTGTCACCATATTCATAGACAATGCGGAGAGATTTCTGGAAAATCCCTGCAGTCTGGCCTCTCTGGATTTCATGTGGATACCTGCAAATTTCACTAAGTGTTGGGAGATTCTTTAGTGGTATATGAAACTAAGTTGCAAGCAGTATCAAGTTTTCTCTTAACAAACCATTTTCCAGTGTATTTTAAATGGCCTTAGTTCAAGAAGTTTCAAGAATCCTTTCTTGTTGTAGGTCTTGGCCAGTCTGCGAACTGTACGAAACAACTTTGCTGCATTAACTAATTTGCAAGACCGAGCACCTAGCAAGTAAGATATCCTTTTTTTCCCCCTCTTTTTTGCTGAACTCTTAAATAAGTTTCCTCAATGTGATTGAACCCCAGGCAATATGTTAGACTTATCTGTGTTGTTGCCATGTTGTCTAACCGTGTACACCAAGTCATATGATGTCCTGTTAATTTTCTATAAATACTTTGTGGTGATGGTTCTAATAACAGACATGAAGCAATATGACAAATAAATATGGTGATTCCATCTGTCAGAAATCACCTGGCATGATCAGTCTTCTCTCCAGTTATTTACACTCAGGGTAACTTTATAGTTTGGGCTTACTTCATAAATTAACCATGGGTGAATAATCTCATCACACCTTAAGGTCAGCTGAAAGTCATCCTCTCAAGATAACAATGATTTGGAGAAGCACCATATCATAGCAAAAATATTTGATTCTCCTGCTGTTACTGACTTTTAAATCAGCAGCATTCATGGAGCAATTAGTAGAATTGTGATTTATATGACAACACAGAAAGCATTTGAAAGAGGGACAGCTAAGATGGGAAATGATTATCATTTTGAGTTCTTGATAAACGTAAAAAAATCTAAAAGGATAAAAGTAATTTTTCGATATTAAATGAAAAACTGGTTTGCTATTATTTAAATGTCCATTTAAAAATCTGTTATTAATACTAAATAAAATATTAAAATACCAACTTCAAATAATTTTCCAGAAAAAAAAAATTAAATCAATACTAAGAGGACAGGGAATATAAGTGTATTAGGAACTATAACTTACCTAAGTGTATAACATTTCATAGTAGTTACTACTTCTTAAAAATAATGAAAAATCTGAACTTTCCATTTCATAATAATAAAATTGACCTCCCAAATTCACATTTTCCATTATCAAAAATAGCTCTGGCCATTATTCAAGTACTTCTTGTGATAGAAAAAAAGTTTTTAAAAATCGATATAAATGCCACAATGCAAGTAATTGGCATGGGACCCATTAGCCTCTGTATTTCCAGGTAGTGAATTTTTGCAGTTCTATTCGCTCAGCCTGTACACTTCTCATTGTCTTCCTCTCCTCATCTACTGGGCTAATTGTCATTCATTCTTTGGGTTGCAGCTTAAATAAAATTTCTTTTGGAGCACTGCACCTGACAATACCCAACATAAACACACACTCACAAGCCCTAATCAAGGTGATGTGCCTTTCCATTTTTGTCTCATTGCACCTCGTGCCTCATTCCTATGTTAACGTGTATCTCTCTGTGCTTCTGTTGCCTATTTGTCTATTGGGATGCTGCTAGACATTGTCAGTTCCCAGTGAGTAGAGATGTAGCTGGCTCACATCTGTATTCCCTGTGCCTAGCATAATACATAGTCTATCACTCTGCAAAGGCCTGTTTGCTGATAGAGTAAAGTAGTAACTCAGCATGTGAAACCTGAGGGTGTGCTTTGAGGTACCTGTTTATTACCAATCACGTTTTCTATGTAACATGGCCATACAATAGCATATTGACCTCAGCAGCCCCCTGGGGCTTTGAGGATTTGGTAGCTTATCAGGTCAGTCACCTCTCCATTAGAGAGTCTCAGCTCTGCAGAAGAAATGAAGTTACTGGTTATCACTCCCAAACTTTTTTGTCTCAAATTTACCCAGGAAACTGAACTTGTTGTTTTTAAAAGGTGAACAAGAAACTGCCTTTATGCTTCTTTTACATATGGTCACCTGGGTACCAGCATTTAAAGCTGTGACGGGCAAACAGTTGATCAGTCAGGCTTCAGAGAGATGATCTGAGGCCTGTTCTATGCAAGAAGTTTTCTGCTGACTTACAGGGACCAAACAGATTAAAACCGAAAGGAAGAGCTTGAAGAAAACAGAAAATCATAGCTTAAGCCCAAACTTCCTCCCTGTCTTGACAATGCCCAGGGTGATATCTAACCAAATAGTATTATCTGGCAGACTCTGAGTAAAGGCCCTGTGGTCTTCCTTTGGTCAATGCAAATTTGTGCCTCTATTACTGTTTCAAACCAAATCAGATTCTTTGGGCATCAGAGTAGTAGGATTCAATCTATGCATGGCTCAACTCAATTCTGTTCAGGCAGAACGAAGTGATGTACCTGGTTCATCAGACAATGACCCTGGAGGAATGAGAATTTTCCCTGCTGGCACTCATAGAGCCACTAGAGCATTTCCACGCTCACCTTTGGATTTTGTGGAAGGCGTGTGCTACCTTGCACAAGCCACCCTTTTTATTTGCTGCAGAAAAGGAGTCTAGGAAGAATGCGTTCAAAACCCGACCCGTGGGCCGGTCTTCAGACGCACGCTACTGACTTGTTAGACACTACTGGCTCCTGTCACCTTGGGTTTTTTGTTTTTGTTTTGCTCTTGAGATTTTTTTCATTCCAGAAGTGAGTCCTGGCTCATTTGTCGTTAAAGGAGGTATCGATACAACCATGGATCAAAGGATTAATATTTTCTGCTTGCCATTTCTTGTTGAGCTATCAAGTTTCTGAGTGCCAATTAATTGTAGGATTGATAGTAAGAGGAGATAATTAGTAACAAGTCAACCATCTGGTTTTCCAAAACTGTAGAAGAGTATAAAAATATTCATTTCATACCTTTCCCAGACAAAATCAATGATTTCTACATTTTCACAGAGCAAGGACTGAAAAGAAATAATCAGGATATCAATTATTTGAATGATAAACTCTTAGCAAGAAAGTAACAGCCTGTTCAACACAGCAAGACCCCATCTCTAAAAAAAAAAAAAAAAAAAAATTAATTAGCCAAGCATGGTGACATATACCTGTAGTCCCAGCTACTTGGGAGGCTGAGGTAGTAAGGGGAATCACTGGAGCCCAGGAGTTCAAGGCTGTAGTGAGCTATGATCACATCATTGCACTCCAGCCTGGGCAATAGAGTGAGACCCTGTCTCAAAATTTGTTTTGAAAAATTTAAAAAGAAGATAATTACTGGTATATAGACCAGAGCTATTTCAGAGCATCTGCTTAAAACATTAACCTTCTGGTTTATCAAGTTTAAATTTTCCCCATTTTCCCCCCAACCATGTTATTTTATAATTAAAAAACTAAAATAATTCAGAAGTAAAATTTGGTGCATTTTCAATCAAACACAAAATTTTAATCCCAAACTGTTACCAATAAACTAAAGAGAAATGAAAGGGAGCCAGAGGCTGAGTGGAACCAGTGAGAATTTACAAAATCCTAGGCTGCTTTCCCCACGTTTCCCCAGCCCTGCTAAGAGAGTCATCTCAGCAAGGCGTATTTGAAGAGCCTGATGCCATCTGCACATATGTGAGGCTGTGCATATAGGTTCCAAAAAAAACATCTAAAACTAAGGCAACAGAGCAGAGTATAGGCCCTAGGACTACTTTAGTAGAGTTCAAATCTCAGCTTTGTTACTTAAAACAAGTTCTGCAAACTCTCAGAGTTTTGTTTTTCTCATTGGTAAAATGAGAACAAGGAAATTTACTTCCTTAAGGCTTATTGTGAGGATTAAATGAGATAGTTCATTTAAAGTGCTTATTTAGCAATGTCTGGTCCACAGGAAGTGTTTATTAAGTGTTAGCCATTAGTAGAGGCAATATATATCTATAATTATCGTATATCTAATATATTTATATCAGACTCTTTGAATCTAAAAGTGTTTTTTAATTATTATATTTTCAAAGTTGTCAATCATAAGTAATAATGTTATAAAGTTATATTTCAAAAATGTTGATGAATATTTTATCAATGATATTCTTTTCAACATTATTTATTAAGCATTGACTGAATACTGGATGCATTGTGCTAGGCTCTATAGGGAATATAAGTTAATCAGAGTATGCTTTTTTTTTTTTAACTTCAAGTGGTTTATAGTCATTTTGGGGAACTTGGCAAGCATCTGAAAACAGAGAATATAAGATAGAATTTATTTAATTATACTTTGGCTTATAGTATTTCTAAAGCCTCTATAGTATCTACTTAGAAAGTCATTAATATACCTCTCTAATAAATATATCAGAGATGTTTCTCAATATAAGAAAACAGAAAGAAAAAAGTTCAAATAGCTTCTCTAATTATAAGATAGTTTACAACAAATCATTCGCTTCTCATAATGTACAGGCAATCATGAGAATTTATGCCAACAATAAAAATTTCTTAACCCTATGCTAGGGAAAGCAATTATAAATTGACTGCTTTTTCAAATTCAGAAAGTCTGTAAGCCTTGGCTGCAGTGAATAGAGTCAATATGAATTTCCTCTTCTCTCATGTCCCAGTGGCACTTACATCAGCTTATTTACCCCAAGTCAATCACTGTGAGATTTAACAGTTTTCTTTTTGGACATGTGTGATCTGAACCATAATACAAAGAACACCTAGGGAGTTGTCTGGCTAGTCTGAAAGAACTCATTTGCATGTCCAAACTTAAAAATAATCTTTTAAAGTAAAATGCTATATCTGAAATGACTCAGAGAGCAATCAGATCAACAAGCCCCACATATTTACTGCTTTGTATTTTTCTGTCTTTGTCAGAAGATCACCCATGTGCAACCAACCATCCATCAACAAAGCCACCATAACAGGTAAGAAAGATCTGGAGCTTATTCTTCCCATGTCTAGGAAGAAACCATTTCTGCCGAGAGTCAATATAACACCAATACCAATTTCATGCTACAATTTGAAAATTGTAAAGAAATGAAATCTTTCTTCTCTACATTATCATTTCTACCATTGATCTCACAAATTGTGCAAGCTGTTATTTGGAAAATTTTTACTGATTTACATTTTTTACTGATGTACATTGTTTTTAACCATTTAACTCTGTGCTTATACTCATTTGAGCATTGCTCTGGGCACTTGTATTTTGAGAGATGATGTTACCTTCAAGTCGCTTACCATTCTGGTTCCACACATGTTATTAGCATGATATTAATGTGTGGTCATTTAGTTTAATAAGAGTGAAGGCATTGATAAAAGGAGTACCTTGTTGGTTCATCAGTATCCCACTTGTGTGTAGGAAGGAACATTGTTCCAGTAGTTCAATAAAAGACTGAGAGATCTGACAATAAACTCAGTTTGGAAGGGAAGAGAAGTTAACATACAATACAGAAAAGTTCAATGAGATCAAAACACAGGAATCTATAGATGCTTGGGAAAGAGAAACAGGAGGAAAAATCAAAGAAGTCAAGGGCATAAAAATAAGATTATCTCAATTCCTATCTATTAGTCTGTTTTAGACAAAGGACCTGACCTCAACCTCATTCAAAAACAGAATGCATGATCTCATTTTGCTGAACCTGAAACCAAACTGAACTTATTTGATTATTTCTTGAAACTCCAGTTGATTCATTAAAATAATTGCCTGGAGAAGAAAACCTATGTTTTCTAAAATTATTACCAGAGGAAAATTAGCATATTCTCCAAACTAGAACAATTCTTCATTGGATTCAAGTGTCTTCCTTGAGCTCCAACCTATAATGTGCTGAGTAGCTCTTATTAAGTTATTACTGAGTGCACTTAACTTTTTCATATTCAGATGTCTGTTGTGCTTGTGGTCACCACATTAGAGTTAATTCTGGAATCATTGTTAATGTCTTTTCTGAATGTCATCAAATGGGACTTGTATTTCAATGAATGTTAAAGTATTGATTCTCTTCTTTGTGTTACTCTTTCAAGATATTACTGGGGATGACTTCCAATTATAGTTTCATAGTACATATATGGTTAACCAGTTTTGTTCTTGATATTGATCAAGAGATGAACAATAGGGCTGGGGGTGGTGATGGCTCATGCCTGTAATCCCAGCACTTTCGGAGGCTGAAGCAGGTGGATCACTTGAGGCTAGGAGTTCAAGACCAGCCTGGTTAACATGGCTAAACCCTGTCTCTATTAAAAATATAAAACTTAACTGGGCTTAGTGACAAGCACTTGTAATCCTTTCTATTTGAGAGGCTGAGACAGGAGAATCGCTTGCACCCTGGAAATAAAGGTTGCAGTGAGCTGAGATTGCGCCACTGCACTCCAGCCTGGGCAGCAGAGTGAGACTGTCTCCAAAAACAAAAAAAAAAAAAAAAAAAGAGAGAGAGATGAACAATAACAGTTTCTATATGCTAAAATATATACTTTGAATAACTGATTTCTTCTGCAGAAACTCAATTTCAATATAAATGAGGCTAAACTGAGTTGGATATGTGGACCTGGATCCCTCTGTTTCTATACACTTTCCTATGCTGAGGGATGGACAGGCGTACATTTGTGAAACTGTACCTGGGGCCTCTAGTGAGAGAAGTCACATAGAAGCATGTCCTCATGCTACTCCAGGCACTAAGTCTGACCGCTTTCAAGAGGGACTACCTTCAACCCCCAATTTTGCAATAAGCAAGACTGACGCTGTTTGGGCAGAATGCAGTGCTATTTTGATTCTTGGAAGCTTTTTTAGCTTGAGGTCACATATGAGCTGGCCTCACAGGTGGAGCAGCATTCTCCCAGAAGAGTAGCATCAGGTACCAGTGGAAATTGTTGTGTCCGACAACAGACAGTTGGGTGCTCAGTGGTCAGGGCAGCTGCCCAGCCACCCCAGCAGATGCCAGGCACAGATTAACAGGAGAGAGTACCTGCACTCAGAGGGTACAGACTTGATCTTAAGCACATGTGACAGACCTCAGAGATGCTCTTAGAAATGTACACATAGTAAGGGGACCCTGGAACAGTACCAGAGGGAATTACAAGCCACAGAAATTGGGAAATTCAGGTGAAGATGGCCTCGTTCGTACGCACAAGCTCCTGACCTGAGGCGTAGGGACAATGGGGAAATAGAAATACCTTTTCTAGAAAGGGCAACTAATTAACTGTTGCTACCACTTAGTGCAGCTGGGCTCCTCACAAAGCACAACAGGAAATGAACTGACTAAAGATGGGATGTCATTTTTGTTGCCCAAACATAGCAAACCGAGGTGGGAACATGACATGGGGAGAGGGGGATGAGGGCAGTAGCAGGGGAAGATTCCTCTTTCTGAGCACATTTTGAAAAAGTGGGCTCTTAAAACTTCAGTGAAGTAATAATGATGGTTGAGACTTTTACATTAGTAAGATTTGAGACACTCAGAAAAGGTGCTTGTGCCTTTCCTGCTTCAGCAGCTGACTGCTCCGGCCCCACCCTCTAGGCTCACTCCCCCTGAGGTTGGAACCTGGCTCTACCTTGGAGGTCATCCTAGGAAGAGCGAAGAAGTGTTGAAAAGACTCAGTGAGGCAGCCTTTAAGATGAATGAGGGCTTTCTTCGAAATTATATTTAAGGTCTACACTTAACGGTGTAGCCTAACAGTTAAGTTCTGGGCTGATCCAATAGGCTGCTAGAGCACAGAGCTCCAGGAGCCTCTGGATGGTAACACCACAGAACATCACGACGTGGTCCCACCAGAATTGTGTCATGCGGCTGCTCTGCCTGCCCAGAACTCAAATCATGCTCTATCATGAGAGCTTTGTGGCCCTGGGCAGGTTGCATACCCTTTCTCTGATCAGTTTCCCTAGCTATAAAATAGTGACACTGCTTCATACAGTTGCTTGGTTGAATGAGTTAACACACGTGATGCCCTTAGCACAGTGCCTCATAGTACCAGCGCTTAATACATGTTTTAAAATTACCTTTTGTTGTTATTACATGGTTTTGTTTCTAGGGCCCACTGTATACATAGAGCTAGGGGTTTCTTTGTCAGTTTGAGCCCCTATAACACAGCACCATAGAGTGGGTGGCTGATAAACAACATACATTTATTTCTCACAGTTCTGGAGGCTGGCAGTCTGAGATCAGGATGCCCGCATGATTGGGTTCTGGTGACAGCCTTCTTCTAGGTTGCATGAGTGCCCTTTATAAGAGCACTAGTCTCATTTGTGAGTGCTGAGTGCCCCACCCCCGTGACCTAATCACCTCCTACAGGCCCGACCTCCAAATACCAACACATCAGGGGCTAGGATATTGAAATGAATTTTCAGGGCACACAAGTCCATAACAAGGGGTAATGGAAAGAATAGGACAAAGAGACAAGGGAAGGAAAGGGAACAGTGAGAGAGGCAAGCTTACAGGATCGCAGGAGTAAAACTTATGAGTCCCTAAATTGGCCGAAATGGATGCACTTGCTTTGTGCCCATCAAAATGGGGTCTCCTGCTGCTCCCAGCACAGCCTCCCTTCCTCTCATCAGTTACACATGCTGGGAGCCTTGTGATAGTGACGATAGACTTTTGTTCAGGATGAATTTCAAAGTCTAAGAACTCACTTTTGAGTCATAAGTGTTTGAAGGAAAAGTATTAATTCTCTGTCACTTTTCTGCAAACCAACTCTAATTTTTAAAAAAGAAAAGTTAAGAACTTCAGCTGTCTGCATATGACGTACCATGCTTTCTAAGGAGTTGTCCCATAGAATTTATAATACTCGCTTCCTCTTTTCAAGGTTATTACATTTGACATGTATTAAAGCCAGGAAAGTTTGAATTTTTTTTTTTTTTTTTTTTTTTTGAGGCGAAGTTTTGTTCTTGTCTCCCAGGCTGGAGTACAATGGCGAGATCTGGGCTCACTGCAATCTCCACCTCCCGGGTTCAAGTGATTCTCCTGCCTCAGCCTCCAAAGTAGCTGGGATTACAAGCACCCACCACCGTTCCCGGCTAATTTTTTGTATTTTTAGTAGAGACAAGGTTTCACCATGTTGGCCAGGCTGATCTTGAACTCCTGACCTCAAGTGATCCACCTGCCTCAGCCTCTCAATGTGCTGGGATTATAGGTGTGAGCCACTGCGCCTGACCGAGAGTTTGATTATAAAATATAATTAGCATTAGGGTTTTAAAGCAGGTAGGTCACTGACCAGTTTTTATTTCCATATATAGTAGGTAAATGTACAGGTCTAAAATGAGCTAACAATTCCTTAAAAGTAAGGCTTTGAAGTATGCACTTATAAAAGAGACTCACTGCTAAGTGCTCTTTTGCTCTTTACTGTGATATGACAGAAAGATGATGCGTGGCATTTGAAGCCTGAAGGTGAACCCAGTCTCTCCCTTTCACTTTATTTCCTCGGTTTGGAGATTTGAATACTTAACTCCTAGGACCCTTGCAAGAATTCAAGGAGATAAGTTATACAAAAGGATAGAGTTTAAGTCGGGCATGGTGGCACCCGTCTATAATCCCAGCTACTCAAGAGACCACAGTGGGAGGACTGCTTGAGCTCAGGAATTCAAGAGCAGCCTCAGCAATGTAGTGAGACCCTGTCTCCTAAAGAAGAAAAAAATGGATAGAGTTCAGAATGTGGTGAGAAACTCTCCAAGTGTTTCTTCCTACAACCCTGACCCATGCCTGATATGTTTTTGTTCCTAAAGCTAATTTAAAAGCTGGCAGAACAGAGCTAGCAGAGAATATTAATAATGCGTCAGCTTCTTTGGTGCATTTCATTGATGATTTTGTTTTCACACAGTCAGGCATGACGTTTTTAGTAACCCTTTTATCACTTAGAGTAAGGCTCACCTCCGTAGGTCCTTAGTGTGTGGTACGCACCAGAAGTAAAGAAACATTGAGGCCGGGCGCGGTGGCTCAAGCCTGTA